TTTTAAAGATATCGCCCGTTAGTCGAAATTTCTTACGCCATACGAAAAGACGGTACAAGAGGACGACACGTGTTGTACGCTTAATACATACATATATATTCATGTTATGTACAACTCTGTTGTAGTGTTATTTGTACCCCTTGCACACGCGTATGCTATAGAAGCGCGATACGGATAGAATGCGCGCGTACACGAGAGACTTCGTCGGCACGCTCGTTTGTTATAAACGCGCAAAAATAATTTTGCGCGTTTGCCGCGCAAATACCCGAAGTCTCCGTGAGAATGCGCGCTTTCTTTTTTTTATATATTTTCTTTAATAACATTAGCCATTATCATAACAATAAAGACGTATCGATATATATTTTATATATATAGAGATCGTCTAATTAAAAAACGATTACCCTGAACGGTGAATCACTGGCTCGTGGGTCGATGAAGAACGCAGCTAATTGCGCGTCAACTTGTGAACTGCAGGACACATGAACATCGACATTTCGAACGCACATTGCGGTCCTCGGATACTGTTCCCGGACCACTCCTGGCTGAGGGTCGTATCAATTTAAAAGACTGCTCGGTTTCCTCTCCGATCTCTGTTCGCGTCGTCGTATTATCTCTTTATCCGAGAGACGACGACGACGACGACGACATGAGAGAGGAGAATGAACGTCGGAGCGTGTTGGATGTAGACGCGGCGGTACGACGCGACGACGCTAGTTATTATATATTTATTTATGTAATATCGTAAACGTCGTCGTCTTTGTCGTCGTCGCGGCATCTCAAAACTCACACATAGAACGAACACGCGCGCTGTACGGATAAAAATCGTAATAGCACTACATATATATATATATATATATATATATGTATATATGCTGTAGTCGTTACGCGTTTCGAACTTGCGCTGCGATCGTCGTGTCCGAGAGAGAAATTATTTTTTTCGAGATAACGACGTCTGATCGCATATACGCGCTAAACACTAGAGACGCTTTCGACTAGTAGTAGTATAGCAGCAGCAGCTATACGATTTAGTATTAGCGATCGCGTGTGACATATATATCTGTGTGTGGTGTTGTGTTGTATATTGGTTAACCGACCTCAGAGCAGGTGAGACTACCCGCTGAATTTAAGCATATTACTAAGCGGAGGAAAAGAAACTAACTAGGATTCCCTCAGTAGCTGCGAGCGAACAGGGAAAAGCCCAGCACCGATCCCGCGGTCGATATCGGGCGCCGGGAATGTGGTGTTAGGGAGGATCCGTTTATCCCGAGGTCCGCGCGGCGAGTCCAAGTCCTTCTTGAACGGGGGCCACAGCCCATAGAGGGTGCCAGGCCCGTAGTGGCCGCTGCCGATCGCGGGAGGATCTCTCCTCAGAGTCGGGTTGCTTGAGAGTGCAGCCCTAAGTGGGTGGTAAACTCCATCTAAGGCTAAATATGACCACGAGACCGATAGCGAACAAGTACCGTGAGGGAAAGTTGAAAAGCACTTTGAAGAGAGAGTTCAAGAGTACGTGAAACCGTTCAGGGGTAAACCTGAGAAACCCGAAAGGTCGAAAGGGGAAATTCATTCGCGTTTCGGCCGTCGGCGATGAGCGGTCGCGCGACGGACGGCGTTCGCGCGTCCGTCCGCGCCTTCGCTTTTCGATCCGGCGTCCGAACGCGTGCACTTTTCCCCTAGTAGGACGTCGCGATCCGTTGGGTGTCGGTCTACGGCTCGCGGTGGAGTCCGTGTACGATCGTTTTCGGCGATTCGTGCTCGAACCCGCGATGTTCCGGCCGACTCGCTCGACGTATACAGATGGCGCGAGGCCGCTACTTCTTCAATTAGCGTCCCGACCCACGACAAGCACGTTCGATGCTAAGACGGCGATCGGACCTAGCGCCCGGTTCCGTCCTCCCGGACGACTGTTGGTCGTGCGGATTTCTCGGACAGACCTCGTTTGAAACGCCGATCTGCGACGCTATAGCTTTGGGTAATTTCAGGACCCGTCTTGAACACGGACCAAGGAGTCTCGCATGTGCGCGAGTCATTGGGACATAACTAAACCTAAAGGCGCAATGAAAGTAAAGATCCGCCTAGCGCGGATTTAGGGAAGATGGGCGGCACGTCTATAAAGCGGCCGCTCCGCACTCCCCGGGGCGTCTCGTTCTCATTACGAGAAGAGGCGCACCAAGAGCGTACACCGCTGGGACCCGAAAGATGGTGAACTATGCCTGGTCAGGACGAAGTCAGGGGAACCCTGATGGAGGTCCGAGCGATTCTGACGTGCAAATCGATCGTCGGAACTGGGTAATAGGGGCGAAAGACTAATCGAACCATCTAGTAGCTGGTTCCCTCCGAAGTTTCCCTCAGGATAGCTGGCGCTCGTCTGTGACGAGTTTCATCCGGTAAAGCGAATGATTAGAGGCATTGGGGTCGAAACGACTCAACCTATTCTCAAACTTTAAATGGGTGAGATCTCCGGCTTGCTCGACTAATGAAGCTGCGAGAATCGAATCAGAGTGCCAGTGGGCCATTTTTGGTAAGCAGAACTGGCGCTGTGGGATGAACCAACGTCGAGTTAAAGCGCCTAAATCGACGCTTATGGGATACCATGAAAGGCGTTGGTAACTTAAGACAGCAGGACGTGGCCATGGAATTCGGAATCCGCCAAGGAGTGTGTAACAACTCACCTGCCGAAGTTACTAGCCCTGAAATGGATGGCGCTGAAGCGTCGTGCTTATACTCGGCCGTCAGCGGCATGTGCGGTCTCGATCCGCGTAAAAACGGATCGGCCATGAAGCTCTGACGAGTAGGAGGGTCGCGGCGGTGCGCGCAGAAGGGCTGGCCGTGAGGCCGTCTGGAGCCGCCGTCGGTGCAGATCTTGGTGGTAGTAGCAAATACTCCAGCGAGGCCCTGGAGGACTGACGTGGAGAAGGGTTTCGTGTGAACAGCCGTTGCACACGAGTCAGTCGATCCTAAGCCCTAGGCGAAAGCCGATGTTGATGTGGCGTTGTTTTATAAATATATGTATGTATGTGTGTATATATAAAGAACACGCCCGTCGGGCGAAAGGGAATTCGGTTCCTATTCCGAAACCCGGCAGCGGAAACCGTACAATAGTCGGGCCCTCGCAAGAGAGTTCGTCGGGGTAACCCAAAAAGACCCGAAGACGCCGTCGGGAGACCAGGGAAGAGTTTTCTTTTCTGCATAAGCATTCGAGTTCCATGGAATCCTCTAGCAGGGAGATATGTTTGGAATGCGAAGAGCACCGCAGTTGCAGCGGTGTCCTGGTCCTTCCCCTCGGACCTTGAAAATTCGGGAGAGGGCCACGTGGAGGTGTCGCGCCGGTTCGTACCCATATCCGCAGCAGGTCTCCAAGGTGAAGAGCCTCTAGTCGATAGAATAATGTAGGTAGGGAAGTCGGCAAATTGGATCCGTAACTTCGGGATAAGGATTGGCTCTGAGGATCGGGGCGTGTCGGGCTTGGCGAGGAAGCGGGTCGCGGCTGACGTGCCGGGCCTGGGCGAGGTGAAACGTTCTGTCGTATGCGTTTCGCGCGTGTGCGGTAGGATTGCGGATCCGAACTCGTACCGGGCCTTGGCCTCCCGCGGAACCGTCTTGCTGCGAGGCCCAGAGTGCGCTCGCAAGGGCGTTCTGGTGTCCTCTTCGGCCGCCATTCAACGGTCAGCTCAGAACTGGCACGGACGCGGGGGAATCCGACTGTCTAATTAAAACAAAGCATTGAGATGGCCCCTGCGGGTGTTGACTCAATGTGATTTCTGCCCAGTGCTCTGAATGTCAACGTGAAGAATTCAAGCAAGCGCGGGTAAACGGCGGGAGTAACTATGACTCTTATCACACCAGCTCGATTGCCCCCCGCAACGCCGGTTTCCGGCGTCAAGCCGCTAGTGCCCTTTTGGCAAGTACATCGTGTCCGACGGGGCCAAAAAGGCGTCCAATCAATCATCTACCGGCCCCAAGGACACACACCAAATCTCAGCTCCATAACTCGACAGTTAACGCCGTACTGGCCGTATTAAGTGCGGCCAGGTATCAGGAGACCAGGAGCTGGGAGGAGGTAGTTCCGGAGATAAAATCTTTCACACGCGATATCTCCGGAACCAGACCACGTAGCGGCAAACGGTCTTCACTCCCATACGCGGAAAGGACAGTACTTTAATCTACCCAAAGACACTCAACAACAGCGGCGCATGCGCAATGGCGGATTCCAAGAGGAAGACATTTAAAACCGCTGTTGCGGCAGAGAGAGTTAGAACACGTGACATGACGTCACGTCACCCCACCCGCAAGAGGAAATTCGATATAAATGAGGGGGAACCAGTTAAATCCCCTCCAGCGGGTGGAAAATCGACTGCCGGTGGCCCAACAGCCACCGGAACCAAATTGGCAGGCTCGAATACCGTTTCTCCAATACCAGGGCCCAGTAATACGGTGACCCTGCAGCCTGCCAATGCAGCACCATACAGGTGTCAAATATGCGAGAGGCCCTATGAGACAAAAAGTGGCCTCAACAAACATCTCCTAACATGTGGCAAGCGCGATCGAACTAAATGCCAATATTGCAAAGCAGGTTTTACTACATACACAGGGGTGCGGCTTCACGAGCAGAGGGCACACCCCGAAGCAGAAAACGACAGCAGGAGGAGGGAACTACGAAGGCCTGATTCCGAAATCTATGATATACTGGCAAACATCGAGATCCAGTCACATAAAGGCCCCTTTATGGCGAAAATGGTTGCCGAATCAGGTCTGACGAAGGACCAAATACGGCATCGAAGGGATAAACCCATCTATAAGCAATACCTCGATGCCGCTAGGAAGAAAAGAAACAACCAATCCCTTCTCCCAGTGTGCCCTGTGAGCCGCCCACCTGCCCAACGAACGAGAAGATCGACCATCAGGCAGCGACATCGACGCCACCAACAGCTCGCGACGATGTAAAAGAGGGTGAGTGCTCCTCCGCGGTTGCGTCCGCACTATCGCCAATCACTCCAGATCCGATGACAAGCAGGAAGAGGATTCGGAATGAATCGATGTCGCCTCTGTCGCAGCCTACAGTAAGGAGACCCCGCACCGATGCAGTCAACCTCACCGCCAACTCCCCCGCACAGGTCGAACAAACCCAGGTGGTCATTGAACCAGCGCTGCGCGAATACCTCGCGTCTGAACGCGAAGCAGCGCTGGCCAATGGGAACGGCCATCTGGCGGACCTGTGCCAGGCAGGATCATCGCTTGCGGTTAATGATCTTGCCTCCTATCTAGACAATTGGATAATAGAAGATTTCCAAAAAGGGGGAAGGAAATACAACCCAAATGGTCACAGAGGTGGACCAAAATCAAATTACGGAGGTACTAGACCAGGAAGAGGTCCACGGGTAGAATCATACAAAAAGGCCCAGGATCTCTACCTCCGTAACAGATCAGCTCTAGTGGATAAAATCATTTCAGGAACTCCACTAGACTCTACTGAAGAGGTACCACCTCTAAAAGCGGTTGAGGAGCTGTATAGCGGGATCTTCGAGCGGGCTGCGACGGAGACGATGACGGTTCATCCCGAACCACGAAACACCGATGCCACCACTTTCGCTCCATTCGAAGAAAGCGAACTAGAGGCAGCCAAAACAGCATGGGCTAACT